AGGGTAATATTTTAATTCACTTAATGAAAGTAAAAACAAACTTCAGTTTCATAATAATTTGTTGGTGAGAGTAGATTTGTTCAACATAATCTATCCCTGTAACCAGAGTTGATGACGGGTAAAAATATGTACATGGCCCAGCCATTGACGAAGACCCAGTACCTGCTTTTTTCACAACGGTCATCAAGTAGCCAAAAAGTAAAAGGTTTCTTCTCCTTAGCCTCATCTTTTTGTTCTAACCTTTTACAAGCTTTATGATTTTTTTTAGATGAAAGAACACTCATGGATTTCTTGAGCCCCATATTGGACATTGGAACCCGCTTGTGGCATTGTAGTGCCAGACATGTGGCCTACATACACCATCTGAAAGAAAATCTGCTCAACTTGGAAGCCGGAAGTGAAGCACTCGACCACCGCCGACGCGATGTGCGGGCGAAGGTGGAAGCCCTCGAACAACAACTACGACTGAGACGCACGGAGGACGTGGAGCTATGGCTGACACTTGCAGAAGCCACGCTCGGAGAAGTGAACATAATTATTCAACAAGGCGACGATGAACTTCGAAACAAATGTGTTGGAGATTGCTGCCCCAGGAACCTGAAGTCCACCTACAAGATCGGGAAGCGAGTCGTTAAGAAGATGGATTCCGTGAAGGAGCTTCTGCATAAGGCGGAGCGTTTCTACTCAGAATCCGCCATTGTTTTTAAGCCACCACGTAACCGTCTTCTAATGCCTGAGTGGCCATTGGAGAACACTGTTGGTTTAGACTCTGCAGTTGAGAAGGTATGGGAAGCAATTGAGAATGAAAATGTTGGAATCATTAGATTATGTGGACAAGGCGGTGTTGGGAAGACGACCCTTTTGAAGAAAGTTTGCAATGAATTCCATAGGAGAAGCCATGATTTTGATGTTGTCATTTGGGCCATGGTGCCTACAGGAGAGGGTTACATACAGAAAATTCAAGAGTTGATTAGGAAGAAACTGGACAGACCTGATGAGATATGGAACCAGTCAGGCGAGGACGAGAAAGGGCCGAAATATTTAGAGTTTTGAAACGCAACAAGTTTGTGTTTTTACTGGACAATGTATGGGAACCCTTTGATCTCATAAGACTCGGCATCAACTGCCCGGTTATCCGAACCAGTCCAAAGTAATATTCACAACCCGATCACTGCGGTTGTACTTAAACTTTTTCAGCACAGCTCATGAGACGATTGAAGTCAAGTGTTTACCACCAGAGGAGGCATTGAGTTTGTTTAGGATGACTGTAGGCGAAAGTGTCCTAAGTAGCGATGCCGATCTCTCGGAGTTGGCGAATACGTTTGCTAGGAAATGTAGAGGGTTGCCACTTGCTCTCCTCACTTTTGCAAGAGCCATGGCTGGTTTAGACAATCCCCGACAATGGCGTCATACGATCGAGCTGTTACATACTCATCCATCAGAGATTGCAGGAATGGGAGGTCATGTGTTTCCTCTTCTCAAGTTTAGCTATGATAACTTGAAAGAAGCCAAAGAACAAAACTGCTTTCTGTATTGTTCTCTATTCCCTGAGGACTATAACATTAGGATCGATGAACTTATCGATCTCTGGGTAGGAGAAGGTTTCTTAGATGGATCAAATCCTTGTGATCATGGAGGCTTTATAGTTGATGCTTTAAAGTCTGCTTATTTACTTGAAACTGATGAATCTAAGCAATGTGTTAGAATGCATGACATATTCCGTCACATGGCCCTGTGGTTGGCCCGGGATCAAGGAAGAAAGAAGAACAAGGTTTTGGTCGCTAAAAGCGGAAGGCTTACCGATCGAGAACTCCGAAAATGGGAAGTGGCAAACTGGATTTCCTTGTTTGGTTGTATCATTACCAAAGTGAACATAAGTCGCTCACCATCTTGCCCTTATCTTACAACTTTGCTCTTAAGAGATGGAGAGATAATATCTTTTCCCGACAGATTCTTCGATTCTATGCCGGTTTTGAAAGTTTTGGATTTGTCAGGTAACAGAAGCTTAGTTGAGTTACCTTCCAATATTGGAAATGCGAAAACTTTGAAATATCTTAATTTGTCATTGACAAGCATAGAAAAGTTGCCTACTGACATTGGAAATTTGAGAAACCTCAGGTGTTTGCTGTTGGATTATACTACGAATCTTAAATGGATTCCAAAGGAGGTGATATCTAATCTTTTACTTTTGCAAGTTTATAGTAAAATCAACGGAGTCGATGAGCACTTCGGTTCGGTGGAAAGTCTGCCTTACGACGAAATCGACTTTTTAGAAGCGTTGGAGTGTTTGAATCACATAAATAAAATATGCATCACCATATTCTGCGCCCCTTCCCTGGAAAAAATTCTGCAATCCTACATTTTAAGGAGTTGCATTAGGAAATTAACAGTCATGGAATGCAATGGCTTGATTTCGCTACATTTTACAGAAGAGGTAAGTAATCTCGAAAGTCTTGAGACATTTCGTTGCAGTCACTCAAAGAGTTCAAAGTATCAGCAGGCTGTAAGGTTGGCAACCTTAGTAAGGTAAGCATAGGAGTTTGCCCTCTGTTGTTGAACCTTAATGCCCTTGCTTATGCTAGAAACCTCGAGATTCTTAAAATTTTCGACTGTGAGGCGCTTAAGGAAGTTACAAGTGATGAAATGGCATTCCCCCGGTTGAAAACCATTTATTTGACTCGCCTGCTAAATCTGAAACGCATTTGTCCATCGTCAAGTTGCTTTCCTTCTCTGTTGGAGATTGAAGTATCCAAGTGCCAATTGTTGAGGCAACTTCCGTTTGACTTGGGAAGTGCAAATCTATTGCAGAAGATTATAGGAGAAATAGAGTGGTGGAATGATTTGATTTGGGATGATGAAGCTGTTAAGCATGTTTGTCGCTCGAAATTCGTATCCACCCCATCCAAGCTCATACAAAATCTATATCCCCCTCGTCCTGCTCCTGTTCCTCCTCGTCCTGCTCCTCTTGCTCCTCCTCCTCGTCGTTCTGCTCCTCGTCGTCGTCTTGTTCTTCCTCTTCCTCCTCCTCGTCCTGCTCCTGTTCCTCCTCCTCGTCCTGCTCCTGTTGATTGTCCTCCTCCTCCTTGTCCTCAGGTTCCTGTTGTCATATCATCACAAGATTTGGATGTGATTAAAGTTATCAGTAAAGGTTATAGTTCAACTGTGCAATTGGTTCAACACAAATGGACTCGCCAACTTTTTGCATTAAAGGTAATATAGCCTATTCCATCTAAGAACAGGGTTTAAGGAATAACTTCTGTTCTGTCAACAATATTTCCACAACTTTACATGTATCACCTCAATGGTAATGAAGTTAAATGTTTTACCTCCATATGTAAGTTTTGAGTTCTAACAGCATTCTTATAACAGATCATTGAAATGGATATTGAGGAGTCTGTTCACAGCCAAATTGCAAGAAAATGGAGATCGATTCAATCGTCTCGATGTCCATTTGTTGTTGTTCATTATTCGTCTTCCTATAAGGATGGTGTCATGTCAAACATCTTGGAGTATATGGATGGTGGATCCCTTGCAGCTTTCTGAAGAAGGTTAAATCGATTCCAGAACCCTATCTTGCCGCAATCTGTAAACAGGTCGGTACGTTTGTGCATCAAATTAATTATAGGTTGTTCTTAGATGTGTTCTGATTGGCAATTTGAAATTCTTCTCTTTAATGCAGACGCTCAAGGGCTTGATTTATCTTCATCACGAAGTACATGTTATCCATCGAGACATAAAGCCATCGAAGTTGTTAATAAATCACAGGGGGGAAGTTAAGATCACCGACTTCGGCGAGAGTGCAGAACTGACAAGTTACTTAGGACTAGCCAACACTTTTGTTGGCACATACAACTATATGTCTGTAAGTAATTTGTGGTGTCTGTATTTTACTTGTTCAGAGCTCATTAGCTTTTTAATTTATGCTATTTGTTTCTTTTGTAGCCTGAGAGAATTTGTGGAAGCAGTTATGGTGTTGACGCCGACATTTGGAGCTTGGGGATAGTGTTGCTCGAGTGTGCAACCGGCAAATTCCCATATTCGCCTCCTGAGCAGGCGAAGAATGGACGAGCCTTTATGAACTTATGGAACATATTGTTGAAGGACCAGCACCTTGTGTACCTTCAGATCAATTTTCGCCAGAGTTCTGCTCTTTTATTTCTGCATGGTAAGGATTATGTTTAATGCATGTGAAGTTATTTTCATTACCTTGACTTTATGGAATTGCTTGAACTTGTGTGTCATGAAGCTAAGCTATTGTTTCTTTTACCAATTACAGCCTCCAGAAAGACCCAAAGGAAAGAAAGTCTGCTCCTGAACTACTGGTAAGTAAATATCGGCATCGATTTGTGGCCTGGTCCCAATTGTTGTTGAGTCAATGGATACCGATAGAGCCTTAACATATACGCTTTTCAATCTGAATCCAGGAACTGCCGTTCGTGAAGATGTACGACGATGTGGAAGTGGACCTCTCATCCTACTTCAGCAGTGCAGGTGCACAACTTGCAACCCCTTAGAAGAACCTCTGGTATGTCAACGCCTGTGGTCTTTAAACTTTGTTATATTGAGCCTTGTGGTTGCTCTGGCATTTGAAAGTATGTGTTTGGGAGGAACACTTTGCTGCGCTTGTGTGCATTTGAAGCGATTTGGTTCGCAATCGAATAGTAATGTCATCACATGTCATCGAGAATTAAACATAGTTGTATTACTTGCTGAAGAAGGGTCCTTTGTATTAAAATGATGTTACCTAAATTGGTGCGTGTTCATTTGGATGCTTAATCTACCAACAGTCTTAGTGTTGATCATTAAGTCTATAATAATGTATAAATGTCTGTCATGTACACTGGCCGATAATTGCTATCGTTGTTTTCTCGATGCTTTGGCTCGAGCTTGATTAAATGTCCATACCGGCAAGAATTGAAGCTAACCCGGCTTCTACTTATATAGGCAAAGGGATGGGCGAGGAACATGGATTCATTCCTTTGTCTCCAGATGCACCAAAGAATAAAATTCCTTATTGACTACAGTTTTTCGGGTCATATTTTTTATGCTAAATTCGTATGTACAGTATTACTTTGCTTCCTGCAACTTCTATCCCTGATTCCCAGCATGCCCATATTCTAATCATGCTGTAAAAGAGGTAATATGAACATTCATCAATGGCATTATAATTAGTGTCCAGTACGGGGTAGAAATCCTTACGTTGTTGTCAACGCTACAATGGCATGCAAGTTTTACATTGCAGAGAGCTGCCCTTGAATCTCCATAATTGGCATAATTCCATGTTGAACAATTGCAGCTACCAAAGTACATGACTTCTAATTCAGTAACCAAAAGAAAAAAAAACTTAACAATCACAAAAAATGCAAAATATAGCCCAGATGTCATTGGTTGTAAGGTACCTGCATTTCAATAAAGAAGTATCTCAAGGTAAACATTTATGAGTTTATATTTCCAAGCGTGTGTCAAATCAATCCCCAGAATAGATTGTCTTCTTGCAGCAGATTTATAAACACAAATACAAAATGCATGGAGAAGTTTATAGTCAAGACTAGAACAAAGGTTACCTTGGCGGCATGCAGGTTCATCAGTACATGGCAGATGGCATTCTAGCACTCAATAGTTCTCTCGATCATGAAATCAAAGACGGCACTGTTACCTGCACACATTGTAGATTTCTAACAAAGAGAGATGGATAGAGAAAGATAAAGGAGCAAGGAATGCAACGCAAAATTGATTACAAATAATGACTTAAAACATAAACTAATATTAGTAACACGGTAAGAAGTCAGTGCCCTAGAAACACGGTGAAAGGAAGCCGAAATTTGATGCAACAACCTTTCAGTACGAGGGTAATAAATGCATCTGATAAAGATCTTACCCAGTTCCTGAGATTATTGAAGTGAGAACCTGCAACTTCAGTAATAAGGCAGGAAAAATACAAAATTAATAGTTCCCAGTCAGTACCACAATCATCTTTTCTAATTGTAAACACATAACAAATTATTGAATTGAACAGTCTTACCCCAAGCAACTTTGACAAGCAGATGCAGTTGGCAAGTGAAAATAAAGACCGGAGAATCTTATATGCTTACATTTATAAGGTATTATATTGAACAAAAAAACTAATTTTATTGGGAATATAAATGTATGTACAATCTGAGCATTACTCTCTGATTTGTAAAGGCTACAGCCAGGATACATTTTTGCTAAGACGTACTAACTTGTAGGAACAAAAGATCTTTACAGTCGAAGTCATCAACTTAAGAGAAAAATTCAAGACATCCAAATGGGTTCACTTGAAAATCAACTTCTGGAGGAGCCTATAAAGAATCTATGTAACCTAATTGTGGACCGGACAGCAAAACAACTATCCACGTAACAGTAATCTCTTGATGGCAATGATTGTGTTTTTGTTTGTCAACGGTATAATGAACAAGACTATACAAAGAAAACAACTCAAACCATCATATTCAAGTCAGAAAGATCATCCATGGGAATTTCAAGGCCCATGAAGTCATCATCTTGTAATCCATCATCATCAATGTTTAACCATGAACCCAAATCTTGTCCTGGTAGCTGCAAGTCATCCAACGCATCCAGGCCAAAATCATCTTTTTCTTTGGCATTATTATTGGTAGTTATCTCATTTGACTTTGATATGGAGGTTGATGGTTTCGGTAGCTCCGACATCTCGCCAAGAATGTCGTTCACAGAAACAGATAGTTGAGTTGTTTTCTGCTTAGGCTTTATTTTTAATTTCCTTTCCCCCTTAGCATTGGATACTGGTCGACCAATCTTATTAGTTCCATTTCTACATAAAACCTCTCTACCAAGTCCCTTTCCATCTGTGTCTCTCTCACTCCTCTTTCCTTTTGTACTGCTCGACAAAGAACTTCCAATGCCTGGCTGGGCACTAGAAGCACCAGTAACAGCAACTACATCCTCCAGCAATAACTCTCTCTTTTTCACCCTGTTAGACCATGAGTCATCTCTAACAGTAGTTTTGTCGGATAACCGATTTTTGGGTGGAAGCAGATCAACAGCATAGCTATCCCCATTTTGACCTGCCAGAGTAGTGTGTAAGAAGACGGCAACAAGGTGTACATGAATAACATTTTACAGAAAATCAATCACATTACATGGGATCAAACACACATGAACAGATACAACTAGAATGGAGGGAGTTAAAGTGTCCGCTCTCAGCTTCTCTATAAGCATCAAAGTAAATACCTGAAGTTCTACCTTCCAGATAATGGGTGGAGCTGTTGGCACAAGGCTTCCCAGGTTCACTATCTGTAGGAGTATCTACTAATCGTGCACCATTTAGCCGGGAAGATCCAGAAAGGAAAATGTCCCTTAGCATGGGCTCATCGAAGCAGCTCTTGCCTGTATCTTCAAATTTATGATATCGATCTAATGTCCGTCTAACAAATGTTAAGGCAGCTTGCTTGATCATTTTGTTACTTGAACTCTTCCCACCAGTAGCATTAGGACCCCAACAACTCTACAAAAAGATTATTAATAAATTGTCAAAAATAAAACACCAGAAAGATATCATAATATGTCAGTGTATAGCATGATAACTAGGATAATTAACAGCCCAACTTTTCGATACTTAAAAATCCTCAAAGGAAAATATAAAGCTGTAATGCGAACAGAGAGAATTTATCCACCATGGTAAGAAGCTCTAGAGGAGAAAAACTATAGGCAAACTTAAATTTGAGAGAATGTCCCACTTATATATAAGTTTTGCACCAAAAAGCCATGACTACCATTTCAATTCTTAGCATTTAAACCATCTTCAATTATCAGCAAAAGTTCTGATGGCCAAATTCTTCAGAAGGATTTTAAGAAAATCTAAACAAGCATGTATACCAGGAAGGGGGGGAGGAAAGTACACTGCCTCAGTTTTTCAACCACATGACACTCATGGTTGTCACAGATTTCAGGTATAAGATAACGAGAACTGGAGAAGCATTATCCACTTGAACTCAAATAACAGCCAAAAGAATTTTTGGAACTATCTTGAGATGCAGTCTCTTTACCATTTGAATACTATAAGGAGTTTGAACTACCCAATAGGAGGTAATTAACTCCTGTGACAGAATATTTTTACCAACTTTGAGTTGTTTGGCGTTAACAATATTGTCATCACACCAATTTCCATCTTTTTTTTTCTTTCTTTGTTAGTTTTAGTCCACCCAGAAAATTATTTCCTTGAAATCCTTACTTCATTCTAGACTAAAGATTGGTTTCTATATCCTTATGTTAAAGTGCTTTTGTACCAACTTGGTTCTGTGCATTCAAGATATTAAACGATATTAAACATTGTCATTATGGGTGTGGGCAAATGAAAACCAAAACAAAAAGGAGACTGGGTGTTAAGAGAATTACCATGTACTTTTCATAAGCCATAGTAACAAGCTTGTCAAGAGCATTTTGTTCAAATTCCCTATAACAAAAATGAAATGTTTATACACACACTAGGCACCAATGACTTTATGTTAAAAGGAAAATGGATACAAAACTATATGGAGAGAAAGGATAAAACAATACTTCTCCTGAAGTGTTCTTGTTTCTGAGGCAACTTTCAATAGTTTATCAAGCAAGCCTTTCTTCCTTGAAACCTATTGCATTCACAACAAAATTATAAAATGAACTTCTCATAACAAATTTTGAACTTTATGATGGACAGTTCAACAATTAACATTTTTTTTTTATAGGAGTTCAACAATTAACATAGTAGCGAAGCATAGAAGGTTAGAAATCGTTGAATTTCTAAAGGCAATTATCATAAAATAAAGAGTTGAAACAATACTGAGAAGTGTGGAGAAAACAAGAAAATGTAAATAGAAGATTGCATATTGGAGCCTAGATAATTCCTTTGAATAATTACCTGTTCATTGAGCTTCTCCTCTAGCTTACTAATGTCATCACAGATTTCATCATCGTCCATCTGCGTTATGTCAGGCTGAGAAAGAGTGAAATACTTAAGGTTAAATACATTAACAAACTTAATGCCAGGGATGAAACAGAAAAAACCCGACAGACAAGCATAACAATGGGAAGAATAAAGACGCTTTCAAGATAATGAGAAGATGCACCGGACAGACATGCACTATTTGACAACCAACCATTCCGATAACAGTGGAAATGACCAGATTGCTAGATCACGATATTCATTTTGAAACAACAAAGAGAGCAAGAGAAATAATTTCCAAATGCAGCATTTAACATAAATATTCAAGTAGAAGAAGACCAACCATCGATTCTAAGAAAATTCCGATACTTTGAGCCTCCAAAAGGAGTTTCTCATTTATCTTCACTCTCTCATACTGAAATTCTGAACAAACTATATCAGGCATTGATTTGTCTGGAAAACTGCCATTCAGGGAATGACTAAAAGTTGAGCAGATTCCTGTGGTTCCCAAGTTATCAATTTCAGGAGTATCGTATTCTGGCCACTCAGATGTCCTATAACCATTAAAAGAAGCATGCCCAGTAGATTGGAAATTAACAATATGACTTAAACCATTAGATCCCAATTCCCCATCCATCTGGAATCTAGTTCCATATATGTTGAGTTGGGGGTCTTCATTTCCACTGTCACTATCATCTTCAGGAATTAGAGCTGCTAAAAATCTCTGACACAGGGGGATCACATTATTGTCCCTAGTAACCAAAAGAATTTCATCAGTTGATGTTTTAGCAGCAATTCTGCCATCTCTTTCCTGTTCAAGCAGTCCACATCCATTGGAGATGGAACTACAATCGTCTGCAATAGAAGGAAATGGTGTCGTTCCCAGTCTTGTGAGTTCATAATTTCCCTAAAAGACATGAAAGAGTTTAGAGAGACCAAAGTATTTGTGAAAAAAGATGTGTTCGAGTTTCAAACTTCAATTAGAATGAAACCAAAACAATTGATGCAAGTTCAATAAGAAACAAGGTACTTTTACCTATTCAATAAAAATACTACTTTCAAAAAAGGTTTAGGCATAGTGCTATCTTCTCTTCTTTTCTTTTTTTTACAAGGTGCTGTATTGTTCGAAGATATGTGGTTGAAGATAACGCTTATGATTTTTAATGTTAAAATGAACAAATTTGAAAGATAGACTTTAGGATCACATGCCAAAACAAAATAAGAATATGAATTCTTGAAATTCAATCACGTGGTTCAACAGCCATCAATGCTAACATAATCAGCAAGCCAGAGGAACTTATTTATCTCATGCCTTTTTGGTCAAAACTTAATGACAATATAAATATTGTCAACAACCCATGCCTGTCCTAGAGGCAATGAAGGGTGAAGATCTAGGGTCAATTCCCCTTTCCCATACCTTGTTGAAAAGAAATAACCCACCCTGGCCTAAAACAGACAAATTGCAACTAATAATTCATATCAAGCATTTCAATAAAAGATTTAATCCAAGAATATTTTCCAATAATTTTCTTTAAAAAAAAACAGAATACATTAAAGGGTATCAATACCTGCTGCTTCAAATAGGCAATATCTGCATCAGATATGAAACCAAGAAAAGGATCCATCTGCCTCCAAAAGGGGTTGGGAGATGCATGGGCTGAAACAAAAGTACAATCAACCAATGCGAGAGGAAATTTTGAACCAAATAAAAATAGAAAAACTTTGACCAAAAAAAAAGTCCAAATATTTCAGAAGACACTACCAGAACCAATAAGAGCATTGACAGCAGCCACCAACTCTTCATGTCCATCCTCGGAACCAACTAAGAAAAATGTACCAAAGGCAATTAGAAGCCATATACATGTAAATATGTAATCACAGGTTTAGAAATTCTGAAAATTTTTCTAAGCTTGGAAATTTTAAGAATCCAGGGAAATTTCTTAGTTTGAAATGCAAGTACCAAGAACATCTGCAGCTGCATTCATTGCTGCATGCTTCTGGCGTGCATAGGCCATGCGATCAGTGAGCTTCCTAGTTGGAGGCCGACCAGCCTTGCTGAGAAAATATTCATCAGACTATGAGATTTCAATCATGAAAAA